ATACTACATGTCCCCGTAGAGCGGCTCGCTATCCTCTCTCGAGTTTCTAATCCCTTTCCCCGACTCAGATTCTGTTCCTGTCCCTCTCAAGCGGCTCACTCGTTGGTCTAAGATTCGTTAACCCCTTTCTACGGTGCAAGTCCCGTTCGAAAGTTCGCCTCTTGTTCTCAATGCTCCGGTCCCTGTGGAGCGTTTGCTCTTCGTGCTCAAATTCGCTGGTCCCTTTTGAGCGGTTCGCTCCTGGCTAAACTCAAGTTCTCCTTCCACAAGGCTCTCTCCTCTTTCTCAGATTCTCTGGTGACCCTGGTCACTTTCGAAGGGTAAGCTCCTCTTTCTCTGATTCTCTAAACCCTCTTGAACGGTTCGCTCGTCTTTCTCAGATGCTCTAGTCCGCTTCGAAAAAGTCGCGCCTCTGCGTTTGTCTACCTACAAACAACAGTACTAGCAGGAAGTGCAGCCACACTCATGATGAAGACGGCCATGTGGGAACTTGGCCGTAAACAGCCGAGTCGCTTCCCCTGCTCGTCGTGCGGAAGAAAAGCCTGCCTGAGGTTCGAGGCTTGGAGATTAGCCGGTTCGTCATCGCACTTACCGACCTGCGGCATACCCTGCCGTGCCCCAAGTTGCAACATACTGACAGGCAACCACTGCGAAGACACAGCTGCAACCAGCACATGCAGTGAGGCAGCGCCTTGAGAAGTTCAGCGGCTTTCATGCGGATTATTGAAATCGCACCGTCCCGTGCAGTTCATGATTTAGTAACCCTGGCATGAGCCGTCTCGCCGTTCGGCGAGGTTAGCACCACCAAGCTGGCTCTATGATGGGTGGAGCTCAAGGGTAGCAGGGGAGGTGAACAAAGCCGCTGGCATGCCTTGCGCGCAGCTGAGCTGTGTGGAGTGAGGAGTGGTCTCTCAGCTTGTTTGCTCGAATGGCTAATTTGTTGTGGAATCGTTTCTGCCTACAGTAAGCCATAGCACTTTTGCGTGTGGTGCAGGGCTCCATGCTGATTAGCTTGTGGAGATGAGTCAACCACAAGCCGACACAACATGAGAACCTTGTCACCTGGTCCACCCTAGCTTCGTGCAGACTCCATTGCGTGCGAGTTGCTGACTCCGTCCAGCAAATGGCCTAAGCTTAAGCCACGCAAACGCTTTGAAACCGATGCACCGGCTTCGGAGGGAACGTAGAATCGCCCATCCTAGCAGAACGACCCTAAGCTCTGCCTGGCTTGATTCTTGCTTACAGCAACATGCGCCACAGCTTAGATGTGTCAAGACTGTCCACAGCAAAGAAGCTCACCCTTTGCATCTCTTCCACCAGGGAAGCGGAAGTTCATGACGATCGTGAAGCTGTCCTCAGAGAGGGGAACTGCTGCTCTTCTGTATGCAGGTGCACTCGGAACTGCGATAACGGGCCCCTAGCTTCCATGTTGCTAGCACCTGGACATGGCCGCATAAGAGCTGCAAGCTCTTGCCTAATGAGCAAGTACTCTTACTTGCATTATCCCTCCCACACTCACCCAAAGAACACAGAGATGGATGAATGGATGGATGGATGGATGGATGGATGGATGGATATATATATATATATATATATGTATATACACACACACATATATATATATATATGTACGCACACATAAACAGTAAGCCTATGCGGTGTTGCTCTTAGCGAGTCTTTGCAGTTCGGAACTGCTAGCTCCTGTGACGTTAGATCTGATTTCTTCAAAGTACGATGCCTTTTGCTATTCGTGTGCCGTTCCATGTATCACTCCTTATTTCCACCCGAATCAATCATCAGCCTGGTTCTGGCTAGCCTCATGGTATCTGAATAGCCTGTAGTCTCCTCGTATGTATGTAAAAATACATATACATGGTATGTGATTTGATTATGGTATACGGTATACTACAATCCTTTCTTGACATCCTATCCTGGCCGAGATCCACTAAGAAAAAACAGTCCCAAACCCAGCTAGGGCTCTGGATGCCCGGCAAGCCGAAGCCGGCTGTCGAGCCGCCAAGACATGGAACCAACCCCAGGCCTCGGAATGTCTTTCAAGGCTTTTTCTCGGGAAGCTGCATCGAATTCAAGGTTCTGTTTCGGTAGATGGCTTTGCCACTTCCTCTAGCTCTGGTTTACCGACTCTCGTCCGTTTGTTTGGGCGGGCAGACTGACCGTTTGCATTTTCTTGATTTTGGGTGGTCTTGTGGAGACGCTTTGGGATACAGTTGATACAATCTAGGCCGCAATGTCCATGTTGAGTTCTTTACACTGTGGTTGCTGGGTGACATGGACTTGGCGCGGGACGGACCGGGGAATGACCCTCTCTGGCTTTAACGTAAAAATTGAGCTATTGAGTGGTTTCGCCTCTTGCTTCCGCATCCTCCACGGGGTGGATTTTGCGAGGTTCAAGCTGCCTGCTCCGAGAGGGATGGGAATGAAGCCGAACAGACCTAAGCTACTCCTTCTGCTTACTTCCTGCTGCCCCACAGTGAAACCCGTCTGGGCCAAGAGTCTGGTTTCCCACGAGGTGACCAAAGCGACGCTTGCAGGTCGGGCATCGCCTGCTTTCCCGTGTATCAGACATCAATGTGGCGGTGCGCCACCACTCTTTCTAGCAGGAAGATGGTAATACAAGGCCGAGAACGGGTTTGTCAGGCTATGCGTTTGAGCGACTTTGTGTGCAGAAGGAACTCTGCACAAATCACAAAGTGCGCAGTTCATCAATTTTGCGCGATCTGACCCGCTTCGGCAAGCCTGGTACCTCATGAACTGTTCGCACCAACACTAGTTTCCAAAAGAGCATCTTGCCAACGAAGAAACATGACGGAGATTCCTAGCGCCAAGTCTGCGCTGATCGTAGTTGGCTCGCAGCTTCTAGACTGGACCTGCTATGGGCCTACGGCGGTCCTTTCCTGCGCCGGAAGCTTCGGCTTTGGACAGTGCCCCTGAACTGCATCACCGACTCCCGAGCTGTGGCCTGCTTTCTTCGAACCAGCGGTTTAGGCAGGCTTCGTGGAAGGCATGGCCACAGAACAGCCTGCAGCTTGCTCAGGCTGAAAAAAACTGCGGACGTTGCTGACGTGGAGAAGGTGGTCACCGAAAGCGCATGCGCAAAGGCTGCTAAGGGTCACAAGATTGCGACAGAGCCTGAATGTCAATGCTGGGGTGGGCTTTGTGGGGACAGTCCGGGACATGATATGCAGCTGGGAATCTCAATGACCTGCTGGGAAGCACTCGGCCGCTTTGAGTAAGAGAAGTCGCCTGCTCCAGACAGACAGCCAATTGACACACAGGTTGCCCTTGGTAGTCTAGCCTGCTGACGATGCTATAGATACAAGAAGCATAATGTAGGTCGATTGATAGATAGATAGGTAGGCAGGTAGGTCGGTACAGTAGGATTCAAGCAGCAAGAGCTTTTACAGCAAGAAGGGCTCTGAGCCAACGGGCCTAAGCAAATGCGGCAGCCGGATGACTGCCTGGGAGAACATTGCTTTGGTCCGCGGCTGTGCTCCCGCTAAGCATTATTGTCGACCCGCGCCTCAAGGCACGAGGATTACTTGCATGTAAACGGGCTAGGGTTTAGTTCATGGACGAGTTCAGGCTACCCTGGACCCTGTTGAGGCTATGTTTTGATTTAGGGCTCCTTCAGGTACCTTTGCATGGACACTTTGTGTTTTCGTATCTATCGGCTTCACTTTCAATATATGGGTGCAGTTAGCTAAGTTCACTACTGTCAGGGACTTCTATTCAGGCTACCTTAAAGGCACCAGTAACACACGTATGCGAAAAGGGAATCGAAAGATTCGGTGAAAGATTCGAAAATACCCATACCCCACCACAACACAATCGCTGGCAGCCTGAGCCATCTGACCGCGCAGCGCAAGACTGCACAGCGAAACTGAACGGTTCAGACTTTGAGAAAGGCCAGCGACTAGGCCAATCGGAGTTTCTGCCCTTCAGGCGAGGAAGATATCCCTCAAGACATGCCCACAGCGCCCCGCACTTCAATGCCCTGCTGCGGCAGTTCGGCAGGGTCGACGCGACGGCCGCAACTTTGAGCCTCTCGGTGCTTCGAAACGCAGTGGGCGGCGGTTTTCCTAACTCATCCAGAAGGCGCCTCGAACCTTCTGTTCTGAAATTGCTCTGCTCAGATGCACAGAAAGTGCTAAATTATTGAGGATTGTCTTCAAGCGGCAGGCTGCAACAGCGAGGACAGGCCAAACCTCCGGTGCCGTGGAGTGATCCAGGTCGGCGGGCAAACGGAGCTCACCTGGAAGGATGGAGCCGTCCCACATCAAACTCAGGGCCCTTCTGAAGGAAAGACCACTTGGAGAGCAGCTGTACATGCATTCACAGCGACACAGGGCAGAGAATGAGGCACAACGACATGTCTACAAAAGCATCTGAATATCGAGCATCATATACCTATATCATATATCACTCTCTCTATCCATCTCAGTCCACCTATATACCAACCTATCAATCAATCAGTCATTCAACCAATCAACCTCTTTTTCTTCCTGTCCTTGGTTGCTTTAGCATGGGGCCTTACATGGCAACATCGCTTGGGGCTCTCACTCAAGCAAACATTGTGACTGCGAGTGTGGCTGATTCAGTCAGTACGTCTCGCAAGTGTTGGCAGATATAGAGGTTGCTTGATCTTGCTGGTAGATCTAGTAGATGCTATTTGTCGCACTGCTGCCAGATAGGAGGGACGGGGTCATGCAGCATCATGCACTCATAACGGTCATAACGCGCAGCAAGTACGAGTGACACTGCAAGCTGATGGACCGCAGAGCATGGCTGCTCACTGCGCTCATGTCGTCCCAATCTCAACACTTCCGGGTGAATGCAAGCCACATCCAACAAACCAAACCGGCAACCACAAGAAGATGTTCGAAACTCCCCGCCTGCTCTTCGCACATACCCTTCATGCAAACCGAATCCTATGTATGTACAAGTGCTCGTTGCCCGCGCGAATCCTGGCTGCTCGGTGCCTTCGCGGACAGCTGGCAGGTGCAAACGCACGCGGGCGGTGCCCTGGGGGCTTCGCTCCTCGCCTGCACCGGAGCTGCATCCGGCCCGCCAGGCGGCGCTCGGAAAGAAAGTGCATCTGCTCCGCGACAGCTACCATCAACAGAAAAAGCCTGAATCTATGTCCAGGCACCAAGAGCAGCGAGGGACACGATGGAAGCCAAGTTCACCGCCACGGGCCCCTCGCCTGTGGTAACCATCGTCTTCGCTGCGTCAAGTGTTTTCAAAGCCAACCAGTGGCCCATCATACTCCGCTTCTTGTTGAGCTATTTTCGTGGACAACGAGGCTATCGTAAAGCAGTCAGTCGGATGCTGGATGCGAGGTGATGACCACACAAGAGGCATCTAGAAGTGCAAAAAAACAAATGAGATCTGTCAAGCGACCGTCGTCCCAGCGCACGACAAGGCTCGCGGCTGAAGACTCGACACCACCTCCAAGCGACCTGCGGCACTGAATCATTGAGTCATGGCCTGTGGGATGACCTCGTTTCGCCACATTCGGAAACTGCGCAGCCGGAATATTGACATCTTGATGCCATCAGGGCCATGCCCTAAACCCCAAGCACCTAACTCCCAACTTCGACTCTATGGCCCAGGGCCAGGGACTTCGAGGCTACCTGCCCTGGCTGGCCTCGGGCAAGCCCCAAGCTCCTGGAGCGCCGTCAGTGCCGAGCGGCGCTCCGCATCCACCAAGACCTCCAGACCTCAGAGGTCTCTCAGACCGAAGCGAAGCATCCCTCAGACTACCTGCAACGGTCTGTCTGTCTGTCTGTCTGTCTGTCTGTCTGTCTGTCTGCGTGCGCCTGCCTGCATATGCATGCATGTACCGATAGTTGTGCTCTTGAAGTTAGCATACATGTGACAGCAGGTGCGTTAGTGTGCACGCTCGCTATCTGTCGACATCGTCTTGTCATGACATGCCTTACTTTAGTATGCGCATCGCGGGGTCCCCTAGGTCTTGAATCCCCTACGGTTCGTGCTAGTTTTAATAGGCCGTGATGATGCCGTGACTTTGAGGGGTTTTTGTGGTCATGGCAGCGGAGGAATAGGGGATTCAATGTCTTAGCCAAAGTTAATTTGTCACGGACCACTCACACGGAAAGCCTGCTCCAGAACCGCTCGCGGATTTAAGTGGTCATGGGCTATCTAGAGCAGAGGCATACGTAAGGTCTAGGACGAGGCTATCTAGAGCACAGGCACACGTAAGTCACCATTCTTATCATAGCCACCGCCACCCTTTCGCT